TTCCAGGTTCCAGCAGCAGCCGGTCTCAGAGCAGCAGCAGAAAGCGCAGCAGCACTCGGACTCTCAGCGGAACCACGACTAGCCCGAACCCTCAGTGTCACCATCCCCGAACTCCGGCTGCCAGCCGCCCTGACCCGCGTCTCCTTCACGAACTCTGAGAAACTCACTCACGTTCACCACACGAAGACGCAAAAAGCGCTCCAGGCGTGACCTGAGAACCGGGGTGGACCTTCAGAACCACGTCTGTCCCCAGCGGCTCCACACCGACATCTGGCTCCCAGAAGACCGAGAGGAAACTATCTTCCCGCTGATTCCCACCTCATCTCCCTGTTAGCTGACCCAATCCTAGCGTGTTAGGGTGAGTAAATCTCTGTTTCCTCCATGTTTCTCCACCCCTGGACGTCCCAGACCTCCCGTAGTCTGTTATTTTACTTTATGGCACGAATCCGCTCTCAGCCTACTCTCCTCATTCATGCTGGGAGTCACACCGACTCCTCCACTCACGGAGAGACGGTCTCTTCCCTCCGTGCATACCGTTACATGGCGACCGTTAGAGGATACTTCACAGCCGCCGTGGAAAACGGAGCTTTCCTGCTTTGTTCTAGCATCTAGTACTAGTTGCAACGATTTTAAACTCCAATGACTTATTTATCGAGTCAAATTAAAGTAAAGTGATTTTCGTCAGATGATAAGTGGCTCAGGTAGTTGCCTTTTTCGTTTATTAGAGGCTGGTTTGTGAATGGTCCCGTCTCTGGGGGGCTTTTAACACAGCAGTGGGTAAAGTAATTGGATTAGGATTAAAGTGGCTGACAGCATTCATGTATCCAGTGTCCTTTATTTGCCCAGAATCTCCATGGTAGTGCGGCTCTGGCCATGTTCTGCTGCTGAAATCACAATCATGTTACATAACAACAGCCTGCAAGGACTGGCTTTCTTGGGTCGTTTAGGGAGAGATGTGTGGCTTTCCTGGGGTCCAGTGGAGCAGATTTTATAGAATATTCTGGCTGTGCATCAAAATGAATGTTCAGTCTGGGGAAACCTTTGGTGACCCACCTGTGATTGCTAGGTGTGTGTGTGTGTGTGTGTGTGTGTGTGTGTGTGTGTGTGTGTGTGTGTGTGTGTGTGTGTGTGTGTGTGTGTGTGTGTGTGTGTGTGTGTGTGTGTGTGTGTGTTTTTATGAATGGATGCAGCTGCACGACCAACTGTATCCGTACAGGAGCAGTGGGAGATGACCGGATGCTTTTTACCTCTACCGGTTCCTTGTTACTATCACCAAATCTTCCTACATTTTTCTTCTTTTAGTCAAATGAAGTAAGAAAAATAAGCTCATTAGTAGTAAACAAGGCATGGTTTAAAGAAAGCCATTCCTTTTCTTCTTTGAGTTTATCGTTAATGTTCCGAACGTTCTGTTTATTAGTCACAAGAACAGCCTCTATCCAGCTAATTGAGAGCAGCAGACTATTTAATTCAAGCATAGATTACTAGAATTACATCTACGACACTGACGCAAGTCTTGAACGGTGCAAAAAAACAAAAGCTGAGCTCCAGTTTATTAAAATTACACTGAAATCTGGAACTCCAAATGTCAGACATTACTGACCAATCCTGATATTCTATTTCCAGTCCAGTAATGTGTGTTTTATTTATGTTTATGTTGGTTTTGTATTGAAGTAAAGAAAGAGGAAAGAAAACGATCTTTTATATAGCTCCTCTCAAGATAAAAATCACGCTTCACAAAAACAAAACATTTATAATATAAAGAATATTTTAAAAAAGGATTAAAAACATGTTCAAAATGACAAAAAATAAATAGAATTTTGGATAAAAAATGCAAGGAAAGGGAGAGAGAAAATGAACAGGAAAAGAGGGAAATCGTTGGATGAATAAGTAGAAAGAGCAGAATAAGGAGAGGGTGGTGATGAAGGTCACGCTGAAGCCATCCTGAACAGGTGAGTTACTCCATCATACTCACATTACCATCCAGCTCCTGTTTGTTTTCATCAGCTTTTTGGTGGATCTGTGTGCTCTTCAGAGTTGGACAAGTGTTGACATGGCAACCAGAAGCAGCCTGTTTTTACTGTCTCTTCTTTGTCCTGTTTATCCAGATCCAGGTGCTGTTGAAAAGTTCAGTAGCTGAGTGTTTAAAGAAATAAATGTGCTAAATATGCTTTGGGAGAGTCTTTAGCCAGTTCTAGAATACTCTATCTTTGAATGATGATGTGTCTTCATGTAGATAAAGCAGGACCATACGGGTGTTTCAGTGTTTTTGTTGAATTTCTTTGTAAAGTGGTAGGGCTGTGTCGTTGTTGAAACTCCTAACTCTCACCGATATAATTTTAACCGTGCCAATAAACTCGGCCAAAAAAAATGTAAAGAAGCGTGTGGCTTGGTGACATTCATGTCCTTTTAAAGCCTCTTTTCGGAGTATTTCTCTAATCCGATAGCACCATCTAGTGGCTGACAAGCATATCACACAAATAATTTCTCCTTCTGTTTGTTTAAGATGGCGACTTCATGTTTCTTGTTTATAAACGCGCTTCTGTAGCCAACAAACGGAGCTAAAACACGTTGTTTTACGAGTATTATTCTCATGTCATGCTGTGTTCTCATATATTTATATTTTAGAGACTGAGGCCTAGTCCACACGTAGCCGGGTTTTTTTTAAAAAAGATTATCCGCCCCTCCAAAAACTTGCATCCACACCACCTCGTTTTAAAAAAAACTGTCCACACGAACCCGGATAAATACGTTGTTAAGGACATGCCAGACCTGTCGGCGGCAGTACTTCCCCCGTTCTTAACCTCGTCCTTCATCTGTGGTCTTCCGCAAGGAGCAGTAATTCCGCTTGCAAAAAACAAACAAGCAAAAAGCGCTTGGACAATTGATAAAGCGAGCGCAGCTCTGAGGGCATACCATTTTTCACGTAAACAGGTCCCACACGTGATGTCAGCATTTTTTTGTCGCGGAAAGTGACGTTGCGGACCTTAAAACTCCGGTTTTGTCTGTCCACACGCAGACACCCAAAACGGAGAAAACGCAGATCTTCACTTTGGCCGGAGTTTTTAAAAATATCCGTTTTTGTGTGAAAAAACTCTGTTTTTGTGTGGATGACAGGCCAAAACGTAGAACAATATCTACGTTTAGGCAGATCCCCGGCTACGTGTGGACAGGGCCTTAGTTGTCCGTGAAGAGTTCATCAACTCTGTATCAGCCGAGGTACTCTTTAAGTTAGAACCAGGTAAGCAGTAGTCTGACGCTATTGGTTCGTTCTGGTCGGCACTATAGCACGGAACTCTGCGGGGCAGGGGGCGTGCTTACATTATATCACAGTACATGATAAGATAATCACTTTTACGGATTTCTGAAAAATCATACATCATTTCTGAAAGGGGAAAAAACCGGAAAGATACTTTAACTTTAACTCATTCACTGCCAGCCGTTTCCTGATCAGAAAAGCCCTTCGCTGCCAGCATTTTTCAGCGTTTTTACTGTTTTTTTAAGAGTCACAGAACGTTGCGCTCTAGGACGATGTCAACACCAAAACTAACAAAACAAAGAGGAGACTTATGGCGTTTAAAGCGTGCCACAACCCGTGCACGCGCAATTGGGTCCACAGCGCGCGTGTGAACGGGACTCGCGAGCGGAAATATACATGGCGAGAGGTCATTTGTGCACTGAGAGGGAGCAAACTGTGTCTGTGAGCGCACAAGGATGTGCACAAGTGACAAACCTGCGTGCGCGCGTGGTCAACGAGCACACGGCAGAGGAAAACGTGCGCGCGCGGCAGCCTCTGTGCGCGCTCGGCAGCCTCTCTGCGCGCTCGGTTTCTGACTCCTGCTCGCTCGGACTGTAAGGGTTTTGGCACTCTGGAGGCGTGGCCTGTGGCAGATCTTCTCTGTCCTCTGATTGGTTAGTGTACCCCGCACTTTACCCTCTACCTATCTATACAAAAAAGTCTGCTAGTCAAGTAGTCGTTGGCATAGCTCAGTTGGAAGAGCTGGTGACTCTCGCCCCGGAGGATCCAGAGGCCGGGCAAGGAAAATGCAGTAGATGTCATGTTAATTTTTCTTAATTTCAGGTATTTTACAGTTGTGACCGTTCAACTGTCCATTAAACGTCCGAATGTTTGCTGGGCAGTGTTTTAAAAAGTGCACATAAGCTAGATGGTTTTAACCATATAAAATTACATTTTTTGTGATACTGGAAAAATACATACTGAAATAAAACTACTGATTGAAAACTTTATGACTGTGGTTGTACAATATATGACTCACTAATACACTGCAAACTCCCTTAGAGTGGGGTAGGGCTGCAACAAACGATTATTTGGATAATCGATTAATCGGATGGGGTCTCGACACGATTAATCGATTAATCGGATTACATAGGGAAATTTTTAAAAACTGCCAGGGAAACGTTATTTTTCTCCTTCCTTCACTTTATTAAACACAACATTATTAGAAAACAGTTCAATAGCAGAAAAACAACATGCCATCACCTAAATTGTCTTATAAGGTGTACCCTAAGCTAAGAGACCCTAAGCTACATCCATCTGTGACCTAAAATGCTTGGTCCAAATTAAACAGCTTAAAGAGCAAGTCAACCCCTACCAGAGTCTAACTCCACTCCCGCTTCATGTTTGAAAAATGCAACACATGCTGTTGCCTGGCAGACCGAGAGGGCGGAGCCGCTAACAAATACACACACACTCAGGCTCACGACAGCATTGTGACATCATAATGTACCAGTTTACATCATAGCATACTTCTTAGCCAATAGCGGTGGCAGATTTAAATTAAAATACAGTGCAGAGTTTTTACCTGACAACGGCACAACACTGCCAGTTTTAGGCAGAATATTTAAATTTTAACTAAGATGCACTGAAGTGCCAAATTATTGACGACACGTGTCTGCAGCACGATTAGACACTCGTTTATTTAGTTTATCAGCAAAAAAAAGTTTATTTGGGGGTGACTTGCTCTTTAAGGGCAATTCTCATGTTTTGTTTGATCTCATCTGTAGACATTTATTATAATTGGGGATGTCAAACAACTAATTTTTAAATGTAATTAAACATAGGCTGTGAATTAATCAAAATTAATCACTATTTCCAAAAATGACTGAAAAATACCAAATAAAACAAAAGTAAATGAATGCCATCCTCCTTGCGATGATGCCCTGGGCAACTGCCATAAAGTCACATCAAGAAATGCTGCTGATCATTCCAATGATCCCAAATAGACTCACATTAGGCCACATGAAAGCAACTGAACCCAAAAATATATTAACCAGTATATAACTGCACTCTCACACAACACGCCTGCAGCAACAGTTAGGACTCCTCCCTCCCTTTTAAAA